CTTGTGAGCAGAGTATGGAAAACTGGAGTTTTGTTTCGGTAGAATAAAAATTATTTTTATTCATGGGAGTACTTTGTGCTAAGGCTCATAATTGAAAGCAAATAAATGAAATGAAAGCATCTCTTGCAAAATATAGGGAAGGAGACATTCACTCTATATATCTACATGTGTACACATCCATATGTCCCAGTGAACAAATCGTATTTTAAAAAAAAGTTTGGGACCTAGGGGTAATAAAGGAATATTTTGTTGATCTTTCTGAGTTAGCACATGATGATTAACTGCCTCTATACTGCCCTGAAAACTCAGTTTAGCTGAAAGAGTACAGCAGGTCTACGGCAGGCGCTGCACATGCTGCCTCCAACCTGTGTGGTAGCCTCCTGGAGAGGCCGTACAGGCTGCTCAAGTGCCAGCTGTGCTTGAGTGTGCATACGCTTGTGAGCTCCAGGGTTCGTGGTATGAACTAGTTAACTCTGTTCTTGACTCTGGCTTGAGGCCACTCTCCAAAAGGTATAGGTCAAAACATGTATCTTTGTGTGCCCAATGACTGTCAGCAGTGGGGTGAAACAAAGAGGCCATGACTCGTGTTCTCAGCCTCCTTTTTATAGGTCTTGTTACTTGGAGTATTTCCTTGGGAATACACAGAATTAGGAGAGGGAAAAAGCCAGTGCCGTGAGCAAAGGGTATGACATGGTGATGAGGAGGGTAAAGAGATGGCAAGAATGGGGTAAGCGGAGGAGGGCACCTGTTCCTACTGTGGCCAGCTTGGTGGTGACATGGAGAACAACGGCTGGAAGATTAGCAATGGATTTGATGTGGTGCAGGAGCATTTGTCAGGCTCAAACTGCAAATATACAAGAGAACCATTAGCAGCATTGCTTTCACTGGCCAAACTCATTTCATATACTAGTGCTTCCTTGCATTCTGCTCTCCCTTCTCCTTTGCAATCCGTCAACAACATCCCCACTCCCTCATCCTACCAAAAGCTCTGTGTAGCTCCCCTGCTCCAATGTGCTTCCCCTTCCATTGCCTGCTCTGCCCCTGCAGTGTGCGCTTCCCAAAATGAGGAAGGAAAGGCATACAAAAGCCCATGTTCATCTTCTCCACCTTTATAACTCTCCCATTCAGCCCAGCCTAGCTCCCTTTCTCCTGGGGCTCTGCATGATGCACAGTCCCAACATGTGCCAGTAGATTGTTTATCTCCATTTCTCTCCATCCTCTTTCTGCTGCAACATACTTTCCTACTGTCAGGGCTAATGAGGTCAGGGCTCTTGGTGCTTTTGTCATCATTGCTCTGCCTGTTGTGAATCACCCGTCACTGTTGCTGTAACTTCCCAAGATACTTCTGTCTGGCTCTCGTCTCAATCCTTAAATCCTTCCCTTTTCCCATTTTCATTTCTCTCTGGTTTTAAAAACACTATAGTGCAAGTACGAAAGTTGTGAAGACAGAAGGCCAATTTTAGCCGTGGTACAAGCAAATGCAGCTTCTGTTTCTTGGGCGTTATGTTTGCTAACTCCAGAGTGAGTTTAGCCTGTAACTGGCGCTGTTGAAAACTGTTGCAGGCAGAATTTGCATGTTTGCTTTTAAGGCAGCTGTGATAATAGCAACCTAAACAGTTGCTCTTTCTGGGTCTTCTTTACAAAAGTGATTTACCGTATCCACCAGAGAGCTGATTTGGCTCAGTGATGTTGCCTCTATACACCAGGACAACCTGGTAATATCCTAGGCTGCTCACAGGTGTTGGATCCGAAGCCTCTTGGTGCACCTTCTCCAGACTGCTGCATGAACCTGGATCTGGAAGCTGAGCGACAGCCCTGTGAGCCCTGGCCTCCTGCAGTCTCCCATGAAGAAGACTCTCCCAGTTTGTAGCCACCTGGTGACCTTGCTTGAGCTGTGGTAAAATCCACAGCTAGCATATGCTGCAGCACAGGTGTGCCAAGATGTGCTTCTTGATGACACATGGTTTTTCATGATAGAGCGTATATGTGGTGAGCCCTTGATTAAAGTCTCCTGCTAACTGCTTAGAGCATTTTGACTCAAATCTGTAGAAAAGGTCCTAGCCTTAAGCTCCTATTCCTAAAGTCAAGCTTGCCCTATGGCCTTCATCACATCATTAGTAGAGTACCTGAGAGCAGGCAGCTAGAACAAACAGGAGGTTGCGAGACTAGAAATGGCACTTGCTCGTGCCATCCTTCTTCTTTGGGATTAGTTTGGGAATTGGATTTCTTTTGGAAATAGATAAAAAGTTGGTCTTTTTGCAATACTGCTATTGTCTTCTGTTTTCTTCCTCTATTATGGGACAAAGCATGAGGCCGAGTGGCAGCCTGGCACCAATCAGGGGCTATGTTCCCATCACATGGGGAAGGTCCAGGCTCTCAAGGGCAGGGTCCCTTCTTTACATCCCAGGCTGCATCAGTCATCTCTCTTTCACAGAGTGCAAAACCTCCTCACCTAGAAGGAAAAATACTCAGAAAAATGTCTGTTACTTAAAGCATGCTTTGATCCCTACAGTGGTTTTTTTTTTTTCCTGCAGAAAGAGGGCAATCTGGCTCAACCTCTCCAATGCACAATTTTACGGGACTGGCAAATCCACTTCAGTTTTAAGTGACAGCGCTGTTTTTCTCTAAGATCTCACCCTGCAGTTTAATCTTCAGTGAAACAAAATTGTTAGATTTATTTTTTAAGAATCTGGCATCTATATGAGCAATCAAGCCTACAAATTGTGCCTTCTGGCTGAACTCAATAGACCCACAGCTTCGTGTAATTGAGGCTGCAGCATAATAAAGAGTTCTGTTATGGCTTCACATATTGATCAGTCCAATTTAATTTCCTCATGGGACCTGGACCACACTAGGGATGATAGATTGTGTTGAAGGCCTGATAAGCCTATTTTAACAAAATGTCTCAAGGGCTTCTGGAACAGAGGCAATTATCAATACTGATGTATGTTTCCTTTCATCAAAAGTTAAGGGCTCGTTAATAGGCTGCACAGCAGCTGCTGTTTGCAACACGTGACTTTTTTTTAATTAACTTGGAGATACTGTTTCCTCAACCTTATGAGTTGTCTCTTTCCAGAAAGAAGAGAAATTGGGATCCAGGTTTTGATTTTAATGGTGTGCATGATAGCAGTGTCTCCTGCACTGCTATATTCACTATTTTGGTAATTTAAGCCTAGATTACATTTTAGAGTGACAGTCCCATCCCACTGCTTATGCCCATGTCTAAACTGCCCACACCCACAAATCCTGGTGTTTTACAACTTCTGAATTTTGTTTCAGGTTACTGACGATGTCTGCGATTTTAACATTGGTATTACTGGTTAAATAGTCTCCTGTTGTAACTTTGGCAATCAGCATTTTTGTTCAGCATCAGATATTTCAAAAATGTTTTTAAACTGAGTTTATTTTAGACCTTCAGTTATGAGAAGGAAGCTCATTGTTGATTCCAACTGTTTTACCTTTCCTATACAAAAATCCTAACACTTCCTTTATAACCTATTTGATGTAGGTGTGTAGTGGGTGTTAAACTCGTACTGCTATTTAATGTTGCAAATTGGATGTATGGAAGAACTGCTATGTTAAGCTTGATTTTAAACAGTTTTCAGATAAGCAGGTAGAAGTTTAGCACCTTACAGAATTGTTTTCCTTAGCTAGTAGAGTTGCTTCTGTTTATTAATCAGAAAACAATTTAAACCATTTAACACCTGCTATAGTGTTTTCTGATTTCTTTTCCATTTCACACACAGTATCTGAGTAATTAGCACAGTTCTGCTCATTAATGCACGGCTTGAAAGTCAGCAGCCACAAATTCCAAGGAAAATTGGAAAATACCTTTGTTTCTAAGCGTAGATGAATGTGGATGTGCAATACCTAGAAAAAAATTGGAAAGGTAACTGGGTTGCAGCAAATGTAACTGTACACAAACCAAATTCTGTAACTTGCTCAAAATCCTATGACACATGTTTGGTGCTTCATGAAAAGTGCAACCTTGCCTGATTTTTCTTCTTTTCTTGATGTCTGAACTTCTAGAATCATTTGTTCAAGCGAGAATTACACTCTTCATAATGAAGAAATATTTAGCACTGGTAACTGTTGCTTAAAATTTTGAGTCGAGTGTTTCTTAGAAGGTCAGAAATACGAAGTTAGATGGAAATAAATACATTTTAGTTCTCTAGGTATCCTGGAATTCTTTTGAAGTTGTGAGTCATATCCAACCATTACTGGAATTCATGGTACTGAAGATCCCATGAATGTTTAATGGGAAATTGCTGGTGCCGTTAACTGCCCTCCAGGCTGCTCTTTACTATCACTTCTCTTCCCCAGTTGCTGTCATGACTAAAACGTGAAGATGAGTGGGTTACTTTAAATTGCCGTTCAGCAATGATTAATTCAGATTAATTGCCTAATCTTACAAACCATGGAGCACTGAAAGAATAATAGAGATGTGAGAAATCCCCTAAACTCACCTACTAAATATATTCACTCCTTAATTCTCCACCTGTGTTCTTCTCGGGGTCTGTTCTGTGCAGCAGCCCACCATAGGCTACCTGCTCGAACTGTTGCACAAGACAAAGGAGCAGAGTTTGCTTTTCAGGAAGGGGTTGTAATTGAGTTTGTATTTTAAAGGCCATTATTATAACCTGTAACAGGTTTAAGTTACAGAATAGACCTTTCAAAATAAACTATTTTTAGGAACATACCATGCTGGAAAAAAATGGCAGTTATTTGGTTCTAAAATGAAAGAAAATAAAGTAAACAATATAATGCATGGGAATGTTCCCTATAGCTGCTTTTCTGGAATATATGTTAATTAATATCTTAAATAGCGGGACAGTAACACTGTTTATCATCAATTTTAAATCTTTATGGTATGTTTAATTACATCCCTTGCTAGTTTTTGGAAGCGAAGGCCTTGAAATGTGAAGTTGTTTCTTTTTTTAATAATGCAAACTATGTTATTTTAAACAATGCTATTTATTATTTTATCCTTAAATCTCTAGGTGCTGAAGTGGTGTATATGAACATGTCAGCATATAATGAGGGTCGGCTTCAGTCATCTTTCTGGATTGTTGATAAACAGCATGTGTACATTGGAAGTGCCAGCCTAGACTGGAGATCACTGGGACAGGTAATTTGATTGAAAAAGTAACCCTATACCCCTTGAGGGTATAATGAGAAAAAAAGTAATGTTTTGAGCCCAGCAAGTAGAGATGGATAGCTTGCTTTTTCTGATAGTTTGCTGGCAAAAGTGCCAGCATCAACAACTATGCTGCCACAGTTTTGATGACTCTTCTGTGTTGGCAAAAGTATATTACAATAAATTCTACTTCTTTTCATTGGAATAGCTATCCTCAGCAGTTGTGCTTTGGGTTAAAATTTAAAAGAATGATTGCCTTTATTGATTTCTGTGATGCTTTTGTTGTCTGAAGATTGTAAGTTCTTGTTTACTCAACTAAAAAAAAAAGTGAGCAAACCTGTTGGAAAGCAAACTGCTATGGAAACTCCGTGGTAATGTCATGAGTATCACCTAGTCCTTCTCATCTGCCATTTAAATTGGGAAAAGCAAAATTTGGAAAGACTTCCAAATGGATAGTAGGCATTATACTGAAATACCCACCACCTGTGGGGAGGAAGAGGTTCACGAGTACAGAGAGTCAAATAGCATAATGGTTTTGAAGGTTGAACATATTAGAGAGAATTCCCTATTTTCATTCCTAAATATGAGAGTTGAAGGATGTGCACTAAGGCCTCTGCCAACAACCAGTGCTGAGGACTGTCTATGGTCTATGACCATTTTGAAGAAGTAATTAATCAGTAATGCAGCTTATTTGTAGGTATCTGTAGCTTTTTTTCTCTCCACAACAGTCTCAGGATTATTAATGGCTGTCATGTTCATTTTTGCAACTTATCACTGACTGTGTGAGACTGCTGTTGGTCATATTTATGGAGCGGAAACTGTGCTTTTAGATCTCAGCAATTGAAATGCACAACAGAGAGGAGAAAGCAGCAGTCCTAGGTAGTTCTTAGTTGCAGTAAAAAAGCTTACTTTCTAAATATGAACAAAATCTTAGAAACACATGAATAATTTTGAACATAGGTTCTAATGATTTTGTAAAAAAGGTATGTGTTCGTTGTGCTGAAGATTTTAAGGTTTGTTTTGAGTTAAGAGGTTGAAAGTCTGAATAAAAACAAATCAACCATTTTAGTGCAGAAAGAGTGAGTAAATACATTTTTGCTGTTCTTATGTCTATTCATTTATTTAAAGGTAATTTTTGAATGTTTACAAAGGAATCTGGAAAACTGGTAAAACAGAGGATGTTGTTAGCAAACCAGAGAAAGTCTTGGCTTTTGTGTGTGTGGTTTTAGTCAATGTAAAAACATATAGTTGGGCTTTTGTACAGTTTAGAAATTAAATGTTTATACATTGTCTGTGCCTCTTGAGCTGAACTGTTCATATGTCATAACAAAATAGCTCTTCACAGAACTGTTAGGCTTATAAATAGTTTAACTTTGAAGCCTCTTCTAATTGGGGTTTTGAGTACCAGTGAAAATAATAAAGGTGGTGAAAAGAAGCACATGCAGAGTATTATATTATTATATTTAATGATTGTGTTTATGATCATCATCATAGATGCTACAGTTCCTTATAGGTTTGGTCTTCTAATGCTGAAGTAAATCTTAACTCTCATAACATACCTACATTAAACTTTGATGCCGGTTCTTTGTAGGCCAGTGTTTCAAATGTGATTCCTCACTGTTAATTTTATCACTCTCTTTTCTGCATGCATTTGGACATTTTTTTCATCTTATTGTCATGTAACAGTATATTTTTATATGTAGTGATAAGATGAAGCTCAGAAGAATATTTGTACAGAGCAAAAAGAAATCTCTCTGAATTGCAGTTAAAGAGAATCTGCTTTCAATTAGTTGAGAAATGTACACTGGGGTTTCAGAAGAGCCTAAGGAAATCAGATGCTTGGCTCCTGTTGACATCAGATATGAGTATCCAGTTCCCTTACCCCAGAGTTACAGTTTAGTAGATCAGGGCAACTGTCAGACAGATCTGATATGCAGTTGTAAAATAATAATCTGACTTGAACTTTTCACATAAGAGGCGAAGTAAAGACAGAACTCTCTCATTATACTCTGAGTTCTTTCCTTGAGGAAAACGGTTTGCACACATATGGGACCTAATCTTAAGACCCACAGTGAGCCAAGCACTCACTGGGGCAACACATCTCCCACAGGTTCTCATTATCAGAGTCCCAGTGTAGCTGCAAATGACGCATCAGATCCCTCTTCTCTTCTCTCAAAGCAGCCTAAATGAGTAAGGACTGAGTTTACCTGGGAAATAGTGGAGCATATAGCATCAGGCCTGTCCAGACCCATGCCCTCGCCCTTGCGCTGCCTGCAGTAATGGGGTAGGGCTTCTGCAGTTTTGTAGCCCAAGGCAGAGAACTCACTGCAGATGTTACTGCACGTTTCCCATTATGTTCTGGTTTACCTGCTGGGAAAGGACTATGAAAAGGCAGACTGGGCTGCTGATGAGTCACATATGGTCTCTTTAAAAGCTCATCTGACTTGTAGAGTAACAGAACTTGTGGTTATTGAATCAGCAAACAGTGGCCAGTATTACTAGACCTTGACAGCAAACCACAGAATACGTTTCCGCTATTCTAGAAGCATACGGTGCTTTGGCCTATCAAGCACAGCAGTTGTTTTCTCACTCAAACAAAACATCCAGGGTGGGTCAGTCACCTTATAGTTCACAATGTCTTGTTATTCAGCAGCACAGTTCCAGTCTAAATTATGTGAGTGCATTCAGATTCATATCTAATAATACCTAAAATGCAATGAAAAGCTTAGGATTTTAACAATGCATGGTTGACACATCTTTTCACATGCCTTCCCCTGTATTTTCTATGTGCATGTTTATTGCTTCATATTGCCTTTGCATATATTCAGGCCAGTGCACTGCATAATTCCTATAGCAGGACATACCTGCTTCACTGGTGCGGCAGTTGTGCCAGAGATGCAGCAGGTCTCTACAGTATTTCACCCTGGGGTATAGTCCCAGAGCCTTCCTACCTCTTGCTTGCTAGGGCCTAAAGATGTAGAAACTCTTCTGTGACATAGCAGTACAGAGCATTTAATGTAGAGCAGCTCAGATACTAGAGAATATTCATGCAAGGTTACCATGGTAGATGTAACTGGATTTTATCACTATTTTGTCCCTTTCCAGGTGGATTAAAAAAAAAAAAAAGTCTGCTAGCATCATTCTTCTCTTAGGAGTCTGAGTTTAAAGCTGAAATAGTAATTTAAAGTTTAACAGCTCCTTAGAAAACAACATCAGGACTTACATGTCTGAAGGTGTCACTTTTGTTTTTACAGTCTTTGTGGTGGTAAATTCTTTTCTACATTTATAAGCTGGACACTATAAATCAATCTCTCATGAGGCTTTACTGAGTTTTGTTGCCATTTTCTTGGCTTGCCAGCACTGACAAGAAGCAATACTAGTTTTTTCTTTTAAAAGTAAATTTTCTGCATCAAGGAGAGATTTTCATATGCTACATATATTACTTAAGGAATAACCTTTAAAGTCGCATATATCCTTGTGGCTTTGCTGTCAAAGTTGTAATACTTGCCACAGTCTCAGCTTTGAAATTATAGGCAAGGCTGACAGCACATCATTACTTTTCAAGTAAACTCCTGTTTCAGTTAGGTTGCAAGTTTGCCAAAACTAATAATTTTGGCTGAAATCATCTATGCCAGCTCTCTGCTTCAGTCTGAAATCACACCCCATGGGCAAATGAAAAATACTGGTTAGACTCCCCAAAAACAGGATTTTACAAAAATTAGATGTTTTTTTCATTCACAGTGAAATATTTTGATCTTTTCTTCGAATAGGTCTAGATTTTGTGTCAAGGATGCATCTTTTTCTGTTATCAATAGATGGCAAATATTGCCCAATTACATAACCCATTGAAAATTCCAGTTTATGAACAGCCAGAGTTTTTACCACTTTCTTAGATATAGTAAGCTGTGTAAGATTTTATCACTGAAATAATCTTTTTACCAATCTAGTTTCTTTCTGGTAAATTTTTATAAACTGACAAAATGGTGCAAAATCTATAAACAAGTCTTACAGGTTTACCAGCTTGATGAAAGACATCTAGAGAGAAGGTCTCTTTGTTCTTTGTGGTGCCATTTGCCTTCAAAATGTGATTTGGGGGGGGGGGGAACTAGAAAATTATGAAGATAAAATTTTAAATAACATTTTGAACTTTTTATTTCATATACGAGATTTATGTGATCAGCTGAAAGACTTCTATCTTCCACTTCACTGACATGCATTTGGTAATGGATGTGATTGATAAAATATTTTGTCTGAGTTCCCAGGCTCTCACCTACCAAGAAGTTAGTCTTGTAACCATCAAATAAGCCAAGCAACATCTTTAGGCCATAGCTCTGCAACCTACTTAAGTATGTATTTAAGATAACAACCTGTTGAAGTCTATTTTTATTCAGCAAAATACATGCATTTATGTTAAAATCTTTGGCTGAAAAAGGATTCACTGAAACATGCCTAAAATTAGGTACATATACCGTTTATTTTTTGCCTGTTTGAACTAACAACAATCGAGGTGGCCATGGTGCTGTATTCTAGGTTCTAGTTCCTTGACCAGTTCGTTTATTAATGTACTTAAATAAAAGAAATTTGTTATATAAAAATCCTTATAATCCATAATATTAATGCAGAGCAAGAGCTAAAACAAAGTGTCATATATTTTTGTTCCATGACTCCCTCCAGTAGTTCCAGCAAAGCTTGAAAATGCACTTAGCTCTTTTATTCTGTTAAGGAGCGTGAGGTTTGTAGTACAGACAGAATCTTTAATCAGCACAAGAAACACTCCTGGAGCTCTTCATGCTAACAACATTTTTGGAAAAGCTTTATTCACACATGAGTAATTGAATCCAATGGGCAAAGTACTGTAATGGATTAGTTGAACCACTTCATTAAAATACGTTTATGTGCAACAAATAATCAGCCCTTGGAAAATTCTATTACTGAAAATTATTGAAATAAGTAAAATTAATCCCATTGTCTTCACTGGAAGTGGAATTAGG